CTCAGACTTCCTACTATCAAGTACATTTGATTTATAATTTAAAACTCTTAAGTTTGATGTGCATTTACAAGGAAGCCATTTAAGAAAAATATGGTATGCCTTACACTGGTATCACACCATTGTAAAATAAGAAAAAAAAACCCGGACTATGTAGCACTTTAAAGACTAACAAGATGGTTTATTAGGTGATGAGCTTTCGTGGGCCAGACCCACTTCCTCAGATCAAATAGTGGAAGAAAATTGTCACAACCATATATACCAAAGGATACAATTAAAAAAATGAACACCTATGAAAAGGACAAATCAAATTTCAGAACAGAAGGGGGCCAGAGGGGAGGTAAATGTCTGTGAGCTAATATACATTGGACAAACGTCTCAGACACTTCGCCAAAGGATCAATGCCCACAAAATAGATATTAGACAGGATCACAAAGAAAAAACAGTTCCTTGCCATTTCAACCAGAAAGGACATTGTCTCAACGACTTGATTACCTGCATCCTGCTTCAAAGGCCTTTTAAGACTACCCTTGAAAGAGAATCCTCTGAACTGTCATTCATGCTTAAATTTGACACTTTACACCTGAGTTTGAATAAAGCTTCCCCAGTTATCACCTCTAATATCATTAGCTCACAGCCCCCCCCAATCCCCCTTCTGTTCTGAAATTTGATTTGTCCTTTTCATAGGTGTTCATTTTTTTTAATTGTATCCTTTGGTATATATGGTTGTGACAATTTTCTTCCACTATTTCATCTGAGGAAGTGGATCTGGCCCACGAAAGCTCATCACCTAATAAACCATCTTGTTATACTTTAAAGTGCTACATAGTCCTGTTTTTTGTTTCAGCTACACCAGACTAACACGGCTACATTTCTATCACCATTGTAAAATATATTTTTTTGTCTTTTTAACACCGTTGTCTAGTTGCAGTAAAATATTTTGAAGAAAATGCATTAGATTTTAAATACATTTTTAAAAAATTGCTCTTTATGACAGCATTTAAAATCTGTGTGCTGAAGCCAAAGAGTTCTGAACTCACTTTGCTAGCTCTGCAGCAGTTAATTATTAATATATATAATTTCCAGTGCATGTTGAGAAACAGAAGTAACACTATTAACTTCCTCATATTTCTAATGACATTAAAGGTTCAGTGGTGGTGATTATAAATACTTTCTAGAGAGAAGAGAAGCTGCTAGGGGAAAGATTTTTATGTTCTTCATAGTTCTGTGAGTATTAAATCAAATATTGGGCAAAAGCAATTCAATTGTTTAAATTGTAGACTAAGTTTTGTTTTTCTCTGTTTATTTACAGTTAAACTTCCAGAGATACTAGGGAAGATGTGCTTTCCTGACAAAAATCTAAAAGCTTTGGTGAAGCATTTTGAACTGTTCTTGAGGTAATTTGACGACATATATTACATGTAAATGATGAGGTTCCCAGAACTTTTGTTAAAGATGTTAAAAGAAAATAACCATCTTGTATTTTAGACCCCAAGACACATTTGCCATGGTTTATAGCTATAAAAAAATCTTGTAAACAGAATTTATTTCATCAAGATGGCATTGAAACAAAACAAAAAACCAAAACAAACCTTTTTAATGTTACTTAAAGTAGGCACACATTGAAGTTAATATATCAGAAGTAGTTTATGAGCATATGAAACAATTGTTGCTTTGTTGACTGTTTATTGAAAACAAACAAAATACTAAGTGTTAAAGTGTAAAATTCTAGTGAGTCGTTTTTTGATCACTTTTATTTTATAAGACCTTCCAACAGTAATCAATATTTACTTACCATAATAATCACAGGATTACCATTCATCAGCAGTTGGGCATGGTTTTTCTTGGATTGAATATTATTTGACATTTAGCAGATCCAACGGGTTAGTTCATCATCAGATCGCTAAACTCAGTTACCTGTGACTGGATGACAAATTGCACATATTATGGAAATGAGAAATCTTCATTTTGTTGGATAGTAAGCTTTAAGGATTATCACGAACACTTACCAGCCATAATACCCGTGTACATTTTTTTTTGCCCCATGGCAAGGATATGCAAAGCTATTTTATCCAAGTTGTAGAAAAGGAAAAAAATGCATTTCACAAATGAATAACTAGAATACATACCTCTTAGACATTAAAAAAATTATTATGCTGAAATTTCTACTCTTAATCACTAACATATCTAAATTATAGATGTTGCAGATTGTTTATAGTTTTAACATATAAAAATACATTTTCTTTTTGTCTTGTAGTGATGGCTGAGCATAGCTTAATATTTCTTTGACCTCCCCTTTCTCTCGTATTGCATAGTTTCTGCCTCTATCCCACTTAGTATATGGTCTCAGTCATCAACATTTCTAAGCACCTCATCACTGTTTTAAAAGAGAAAAATAATGTCCTTGAACGTATGCGCTTATTTGAAAAGTTTGGGCACTATATTGATATCAAATGGGTATTTTTGTCCTGTATCAAGAGCATCTTTCTATCATCCCTAGACTACTGGTAGTCTGAAACCTTGTGATTTTATATATTGATAGTGCAGTAGCCTATGTTTTTAATGCTATTTCATTGATATAGTGGATTGCTCCTGAAAATCCTTTCAATTTGCTCTCAGTCCAAGTCCCTATTAACTTGTCTTTTTATATTTTAAAGCACTAAATGGTTATGGACTTCATAAATGATGGAGCTTTTATCATATATTGAGGTTTGAACCAGCAAGCCACTGTCACAATCAAATGTTAAGTTAGAATCTTAGAAAAAGTCCTCCAACTACCTTCCTTGATTATGAAACTTTATTCTTAATACTGTTCCTTACAGTACAAGATTTTTAAAGAGAACTAATTGTTTCATGGCACTTATGAAAAAAAATTTGTCAAGTGCTTCCCAAACCATGGAGACTGATGCTTTTTTAGACCTGTCCCTTTCTTATTCTGAGTTACTATTTATATGCTTGTAGACCATCAAAAGTGTTTATTTTTTAATTTGTGGGCCCCTCTAAAGGAAAGTTTCTAAATGTAGCTCTTGATATAGGAGGCACTTATTCCTGTTTTCTGTGGATTGCTGACAATTTCTCTAAAATAGATTCTGAACATATGCTGTAGAAATATAATTTACAAAAATGAAGAGCTTCAGAATCTTAATTTTAATGGTAAAAATAACTTTTAAAAAAACTGTCAAATTAATCCTTAGCAAAGGAAAAGTTGGAACAAAAGAACATAACTCTTCAGTTTAGCTTTCTTCTCTTATCGCATATGCTGTTATTGTTCATGTTGGGAAGAAAGATGGCTAGCGAATATGCAGTAAGGAATCCGTTCTTTCCCCTGCACTTTGAGTGAAATTACTTTCCCCTTTAGGAAATGGGAGCTGAATTTGTTGGAGACAAGCAACCTATTCATATGAGCATAATTCATTGAACAGCTCTGTGAGAAGTTGCACAGTTCACTGTGCAAGCTGAAATTCTCTTCCTTTCCTTTAAATTGTGGCTGATCAAAGCATGGAGATGTAGGCTGACCATATCAATATAATAGTGTCGCTTTTTTTGCTCTTTTTAACAAGCCAGTGTAGACCAGGTGTAAGTGGTCTGCTATTATAGTGGTGGCATAAATCATGTTTAAATTTAAGAAAAGAGTGTTAAACATTGTGTGATCTATAGTGTAGACAGCGATTTAATCTCTGAATTTTAGAGACATGAGTTTAGTGTTTAAATTTATAGTTTCATTTAAGTCTTTGGGCTCTTGCAGTCTATCTTGGATTGAGAAGCTTTCTTTGATATACCACTTTTGTCTGGAAGCTTATTTTACACGACACTTACTCACTGCTTGGTGGATGTTTTAAATGAAGTACTACTCTGTATTATTTCTTAGTCAAACTTCAAATTGCTTCTGGACATGATTTATTTCATTTTTCCAGAACAAATATATTGTAGCAAGAAATATAAAAAATGTACAATATCAGTTTTTTATTAAATGAACTCCATACCCATTGTGCTCACCACAAGTCTTATAGACTGTAGTGCGCATTTTTTCATGTACTGCTGAGAAATGAATTTTGAAGACAGAATTCTTTTTGAAGATATTCAAATTAAAATCAGTGAGAGAACACTGATCCTATCCAGTCCTGAAGCAGTTCAAACCGTTTTCTATAAGAAGATAAATCTGGGTTGCCATTTATCTACTATTGCCTAATTTGCTATTTCTTGGTTGTGAGAATGAGAGTAATCTACCAATAATCCATTCCCATTTATGGTTTTATGATTCTGCACAGCTTGAGTGAAAGCGATCATGAAATGGTAGAGTTCATGATTCCAAGGAATGGTAGACAGGAAAAACAGCACAATAAAGACAATAGATTTCAAGAAGGCAGACTTTAGCAAATCCAGTGAGTTGGTAGAGAAGAGTCCATGGGAAGCAAGGGGAAAAACATTTTGAGATTTGGCAGTTTCTCAGAGACATCATTAAGGGCATGAGCAAATTGTCCCATTGCACGGGAAAGCTAGGATGTATGGTGAGAGATTACCCTGACTTAATCAGGAAATCTTCAATGTTCTAAAACTTAAAAAAAAACAACACTTTTCACAAAAAGTGGAAATGAGAGCAAATAATGAAAGGGGGGAAAAAACAAAAACCCATAAGCTTGTAGGGATGAAATTAGAAAGGCCAAGGCACAGAATGTGATTAAACTAAGCTAGAAATATGAAGGGTAACAAGAAAACGTTCTACAAATACACTAGAAGCAAGAGGAAGTCAAAAGGCGCAGGGTAGATCTGTTACTCAATGAGAGGGGCAATGGAAGTGCTAAATATGTTTTCTGTTAGTTGCCATTGGATGCTTTACATAGGGAATGCCGGTGAAAATGTGGTAGGATCTGAGGTTAAAATAGGCAAAGATGGCTTTATATCATCAGCGCCTAATGAAATACATCCTGGAATATTCAAGGATATGACTGAGAGGATATCTGAGCCATTAGCAGTTATCTTTGAAAAATCATGGAATATGTGAGAGATTCCAGAGGATTGGAAGAGGGCAAATATAGGGCCAATGTATAAAGGGTATAAAGACAACCCAGGGAATTATAGAACAGTTATCTTAATTTCAGTACCTTGGCTGGGGTGATCTAGTTTAGGGTTGGTCCTGCTTTGGGCAGGGTGTTGGACTTGATGAGCTTCTGAGATCTCTCCAGCCCTAAGATTCTATGACCTTCAATTGCGTTCTTTCAAAAGAAAATCAAAAGAACGCAGGGGTTTTTCTGACTTTGGTAAACCTCATTCTATGAGAGAGAAGCTTCAGAGGCTAGCAGAGAGAGTTTATAAAGTGCTACCAGATCTTTTGTTGTTTTTTAAGTTTATCCTGTACAGACTCACAAAACATGTAGATGGTAGTATGAGCTTTCATGGGTACAGCCCGGTCATGTGAAGAAATGGGCTGTGCCCACGAAAGCTCATCCCATTTACATGTCTTGTTCGTCTATAAAGTGCTACCAGACCATTTGTTGTTTTTTAAGTTTATTCTATGAGGAAGAACGCATTTTTCGGAAAAAGGCACGTGTGGACGCGGAAGAGGGAGTTTTTTCGAAAGAGGGCTCCAGGAAAAAGCACAGATGCCCTGGTGGCCACTCGGTCCACAGTAATCACAGCTTAAATTCACATTCTTTCCTCGTACATTCTTGATATCTGTCATTTAAGGGTACCGGTTGTTACTAGTCTTCAATGTTGTGGACCTCTCTCTCTCCTGGAAATGGCCTTTTGGTTAAATCTTTTTATTTCATGTAGACTCTTGAATAGCTGCCAGAAATAGCTAGCTATTCATCATTTCTCCTCTTTGCTACTTTTGTTCTGTTTTTCATTGGGATTTAGAGAAAAGTATGTTAAACTTTCTAAAATTATGTTCAAATAAATTTATCTTGGTGAGTCCAACATGTGGCTTTTCAGATTATAGGAAAGTGCTTTCCTACTAGTCAATAGCTTTTTCTGTAAGAAGCTAATAATCTTATTAAAACGCTCAGTAAATTCTGTAGGCTGGCTATTTCATTGCATCTCTTAACTTTATTTTAAAAAGTACTTTAAAGCAGCTTACCTCCTATGCTGCCAATCTCAGACCTTCTGAATTTTGGCAGTAAAAAAAAATAAAAAATTCTTTTATACTTTGAATGTTTTCCAAGCAGGGTATCAGATCAGTATTTGACGAAAGTATACAGGAGTTTAATCTTTTGAGACACCTAAGAAGTCTAGATGGTTGTGATTTTCTGTTGAAAATCAAAGTCATCGTAGAAGATGTGACTTTAAGGAAAAATGTCCACTGGATTCTGCAGCCATACTATTTGTGGGAGTAGTAAGTAATTTTTGTTACTCATTGTAGTAGTGAGTTCTGGCCACTAGTCTGTGCTAATGTGCAGTT